TGTGGAGGACCATTTTTCCACAGACAGGGGTTTGGGGGGAATGGTTTTGGGATGAAACTGTTCCACCTCAGATAATCAGGAATTAGATTCTCATAAGGAGTGTGCAACCCAGGTCCCTTGCACGCACAGTTCACAATAGGGTTTGCACTCCTACGAGAATCTAATGCCACCACTGATTTGACAGGAAGCGGGGCTCACTTTGGCTGTGTGGCCCAGCCTGGTTCCTAACAGGACACGGACCAGGGGTTGGGGACCCCTGATTTATCCTACAGATCTGTTTGCATGTGTATGAAAAATGTATGTTACAAGGCGATTTGTTACAGCACTGTTAGTACTAGCAGAAGACTGGAAATAATCTACATCTACCAAATGGGGACTAGTTAAATAAATAATAAATCATACTATGGAATACCGTATTATTAATGAAAAATATGGCCGGGCGCAGTGGCTCACGCCTGTAATCCCAGCACTTTGGGAGTTCAAGACCAGCCTGACCAACATGGAGAAACCCCGTCTCTACCAAAAATACAAAAAATCAGCTGGGTGTGGTGGCGCATGCCTGTCGTCCCAGCTACTTGGGAGGCTGAGGCAGGAGAATCGCTTGAAAACGGAAGGTGGAGGTTGCCATGAGCCAAGATCGCGCCATTGCACTCCAGCCTGGGCAACAAGAACAAAACCCCATCTCAATAAATAAATAAATAAATAAACAAACAAATAAATGAAAAAACACGGGCGGCTCTATCAGGACGGATGTGGTATCATTTCCAATACATATATTTTTTTCTTTTTTTTTTTGAAATGGAGTTTCACTCTTGTTGCCCAGGCTGGAGTGCAATGGCATGATCTTGGCTCACTTCACCCTCTATCTCCCAGGCTCAAGTGATTCTTCCGCCTCCACCTCCCAAGTAGCTAGAATTACAGGTGCCTGCTACCACACTTGGCTAATTTTTGTATTTTTAGTAGAGATGGGGTTTCACCATGTTAGCCAGGCTGGTCTTGACTCCTGAACTCAAGTGATCCACCTGCCTCTGCCTTCCAAAGTGCTGGGATTACAGGTGTGAGCCACCACGCCCAGCCAAGATACATTTTCAGGTGGAAACAGGGCACAGAGAGTGTATGTAGTGTGCTGTTGCTGACCTAAAAACAGAACATAAATGTACAAGTTTATGTGGAACTTTGCATAGACCATCTTTGGAAAGATACAGGTAAGAAACTGCTAACAACAATATTGACTCACAGGAGAGCTGGGCAGCTAAGGACAAAGGTTAGAAAGGCTTAGTTTTCAGCATATACTCGTTGCTCCTTTTGGATTCTGTATCATGTGCATGTGTTACCTACTCAAAAGATAGAATATTTCATTTTTCTTTCTTTTTCTTTTCTTTTTTTTTTTTGAGACGGAGTTTCGCTTTTGTTACCCAGGCTGGAGTGCAATGGCGCGATCTCGGCTCACGGCAACCTCTGCCTCTTGGGTTCAGGCAATTCTGCCTCAGCCTCCCGAGTAGCTGGGACTACAGGCACGCGCCACCATGCCCAGCTAATTTTTTGTATTTTTAGTAGAGATGAGGTTTCACCATGTTGACTAGGATGGTCTCGGTCTCTTGACCTCGTGATCCACCCTCCTCGGCCTCCCAAAGTGCTGGGATTACAGGCTTGAGCCACCGCGCCCGGCCGAATACTTAATTTTTCTTTAATCTCATTTATGAATATGAGTGCAGTCCATTTATTAGAAAGGAGAGAACAGAGTAAGAAAAGGAAAAAATTCATAGGGAAAAGAAAAGAGTCTTTGAGCTGGAGCACACAGGAAGGAGCTCAGAACCTTCTGCATGTTATCTGGAACAACCTGTATCTTCTGTGGATGTGGAGGACATGACCTGATGACTAAGGTGTCCAATTCCCAAACCATCTGAGGACATATATGTGTGGGAGGCGATTGTGGCAGGAGGCTTCAGTCTTTTGGCAAATCTCCAATAATCAAACAAAAAAAAAATGCCAATCGTATTGGAGTAAATGGGCTTCTGTCCTGTGAACCACATGACTCATGTTTTTCTTGGCATAGCTAGGACCCAAATAGTTGTCCTCGTAAGCTGGGAAGTGCCCGGGCTCTGCCTTGGGGACATTGATACAAGTGGATGGAGGCAGCTGCCTGCCAGCACAGCAAGCCTACAAGCTCCCCTTGATCCCCTCCAGCGTGAATGCCTCCCGTTTCAGCGGCAGACCAGGGGTCTGACTAGCTGCTCAGAAAGCCTGCAATCACCGTGGGGGAAGCAAGCAAACCACAGTAGGTTAGAGAGAAGAGAAACAGCCAGTTCCTATGTGGTGATTGGGGGTTGGGGGTGGAAAAACCCAAACTGCAGCTGGGCTTGACCACAGAAAGCAATTGCCATGCAAGTGAGCAGAGCTGCTGAGGCTCAGGTCACAGGCCCTGCATGTGCTGCCTGCTGTGCCAACTTTGAGAGTGTCACCTTGCCTGGGGGTGAGATTGGGTGGGGAGGGTGAAGGAAAAGATTTGGCAGTGACAGTTCTCAGAAGGCTGGGAACATACAGACGTGTGCTGTGCTTGCGTGTGGAGCCTCTCTGTAAAGCCTGTTGTTACGCTAACCAAACCAAAAAATTCTCTACGAACTCTCTTCCTGTCCCTGTTCATCATTAGCTATACAGATCGAGGGGCTATTGAGGTTCCATGACCCCGCCTCATTTTTATGTTTACAGTAATCACAGGAAATATGAAATACGGAAACACATCTGGACTGGCTTTTTTTTTTTTTGAGATGGAGTTTCACTGTCACCCAGGCTGGAGTGCAGTGGCATGATCTTGGCTCACTGTACCCTCTACCTCCCCGGTTCAGGTGATTATCATGCCTCAGCCTTTCAAGCAGCTGGGACTACAGGCGTGCGCCATCACACCTGGCTAATTTATATATATATATATATTTGTTGTTGTTGTTGTTGTTTTGAGACACAGTCTCACTGTTGCCCTGGCTGAAGTACAGTGGCAAGATCTCAGCTCACTGCAACCACCGCCTCCCGGGTTTAAGCAATTTTCCTGCCTCAGCCTCCCAGGTAGCTGGGATTACAGGCACCTGCTACTATGCCCAGCTAATTTTTTATATTGTTTGTAGAGATGGGGTTTCACTATGTTGGCCAGGGTGGTCTCGAACTCCTAACATAGTGATTCGCCTGCCTTGGCCTCCCAAAGTGCTGGGATTAAAGGCATGAGCTACCTATGCCTGGCCCAATTTTTATATTTTTAATAGAGACAAGGTTTTGCCATGTTAGCCAGGCTGGTCTGGAACTCCTGGCCTCAAGTGATCTGCTTGCCTCGGTCTCCCAAAGTGCTGGGATTAAGGGTGGGAGCCACCGCGCCTGGCCCTGGACTGGCTTTATGGTTCTAATCAGGCCTTCCACGCTCTGCACAGATTCTGAAGGGATGTTTGAAGAATAATAAACATGGCACCTTAGCATTATTGAGAGTACTTTTTATGGGTCCAGCTCTGCATTTGCACTAAACAAATTCAGTCTTTGCTGCAGGTAGATGAGGTCGGCACCACTCTTACCCTCAAAACAGATGAGGAAGATGAGGCTCAGAAGGGTTACATGGTATGCACAAGTTCACGAGGGAGTAAGGGGCAAGGCTGGGATCCAAAGCCCACACTGTTAACCACTGAGCTATTCTGCCCATTGCAGCCTCAAGAGGAACACACCCATCGTAGGCAAATAAGCAACAGCTATGTGAAAAAAAGGTGAAAACTCGTGCTTCCTATGAATGCTCCCAGCCAGCTGTGAGTCCTCCCTGTTGATAGCAGATTTTTCCTGGGACGTTTCTCTCCCTTTCCCCTACCTCCCTCTTCACCTCCACTTTGAGGTGGGGAGTGAGGGTGGTAAGAACCTATCTTAGCTGCTGTTACTGTTTAGTTGGAGTTCAAAGAAGCCTGCTTAGCACAGGGTGGTCATTTTGACTCCCAGACCTATATCTCTTCCAAGAAATAAGCCAGCTCAGGTCAGGGGAAGAGGTGAGAGTGATTTTACACTCAGTGGAGTTAGGAAGGCTCCTCCCACACCTCCCTTGCCTTTCGTCTAGGGACAAGTCTTGTTTCCAAGATCAACAACCGCCATCTCTAAAGTATTTTGGGCACTCTATACCTTTTGAAAAAAAATGGGAGAGACTTTTCCTTTCCTTTCAGTTTAACAGTGATGCTCACACAAAGCCATCTTGCCTAAGGGATGTCCAGACATCCACTTGGATTTGAAAAGCATCTTTCCCCGCCCCCCCAACTGCTAATGTAATTGTTCTTGACTAGGTAGAAGTTGGTTCACAAAGGGGCCAGACCTAAAAGTAAGATGACAGCAGGGAGTTGAAATATAACAAACTAAAGGTAGGCTCCCTCCTCTCCCACTACCCTGAAGGCTCAGAACCTAGCAGTGTTTGTACTTCTGGACAGGTAATTCGACTCTGTTAGGAAAATAGAGCTCTGTTCCCACTGAGAGTAGATGCTACGCCAACCAGGAAATACTGAAGTAGGCAGCAAACCTGGAACTTTGTTATCACCTCCTCACAGCACCTCCTCCTTTCTGTAAAAGTGACTAGATCTGAATTAATGCATGTAAATCTATGCTGTAGTTTGTTGGGGAGGTTTCTGTCAGGGATAAGGATGGGGGTAAACTATGTCAAGGGAGGTGAGACAGGAAAGCCTTCCCTGGGATGAAGAAATTATAATAATATACTAATAACTACCACTTATTGGTCACTTAATATGTACAAGGCAGTTTATTATCCCATTTAACTGTCTTTATTGACCTATGAAATAAGTACTCTTCTTTTTTTGAGACAGAGTCTTGCTCTGTCACCCAGGCTGGAGTACAGTGGCATGATCTTGGCTCACTGCAACCTCTACCTCCTAGGTTCAAACGATTATCCTGCCTCAGCCTCCCAAATAGCTGGGATTAGAGATGCCCACCACCATGCCCAGCTAATTTTTGTATTTTTACTAGAGAGGGTTTCACTGTGTTGGTCAGGCTGGTCTCGAACTCCTGACCTCATGATCCACCCGCCTCGGCCTCCCAAAGTGCTGGGATTACAAGCATGAGCCACCATGTCCGGCCAAAATAAGTACTCTTAGTACTCCTATTTTATAGATGAGGAAACAAAGCACAGGGTGTAAGATGGGATCGTTATAACAATTTACTCTCCCATCCTGGGGCTTTGCTTCTGCCCCCTGCCCTGCCCCCTGTGGTAGATGGGCTTTCTTCTCAGCCTCTCCAAGCAGTTGTCGTTCAAGGGTGGCCAACGGCCTGTGGCTACTGAATGGTCTATGCCTGTGGCTCACTGCTCATTATGATTGGACAGCTCTTCAAGTCAAAGCTACAAGTAGGGCTTTCCATTGCTAGCCTGCCAAGGACTTAAGCAGGCCCCAGGACAGCTCAGTTTTCCAAAGACTTTTTTTTCTCTCTCTAACTTGAGTTAATCATTCCCTGGCCAAAGTCAGGATCGTTATGCTCTGAATGTTTGTGTCCTCCCAAAATTCATCTGTTGAAATCCGGACTCCCAGGGTGGTGGTTTTAGGAGGCAGGGCCTTTGGGAGGTGATTAGGTTATGAAGGTAAAGCCCTCATGAATGGGATTAGGGTCCTTATGAAAGAGATGCAAGAAAGCTAGCTTCCCCTTCTACCATGCGAGGGCAAAGCAAGAAGGCTCCAGGAAGCAGGCCTTTGCCAGGTATCAAATCTGCCTTGACCTTGGACTTCTCAGTCTCCAGAATTGTGAGAAACACATTTTGGTTGTTTACAAGCCATCTAGTTTATGGTATTTTTATTGCAGCCTGGCCTGTCAGTTTCTGAGCTTGCAAAGTATTGATTTTCTCAACTTCTCTTGCACAGAGGCTGTGGACTCCCAATCTCAAGGTCTGCTTTCCTACTCCCGCACCTGAGGCAAAGGAACTGAACTCAAAATGATCCGATGACCTCGCCTATAGGAATGGGCCCCTGTACTCTTGGTGAATAAAGGAAGGGCTTGAGGAAGGAGAGACCTAGGTTCAAGTCCCAGAGCCACCACTTACTTACTAGCTATATGATGTTTGGGTAAGTGACTGATACGCTGTGCCTTGTTTCCTCATCTATAAAATAGGACTAGTAGGAGTACTTATTCCATAAGGTCAATAAAGACAGTTAAATGGGATAATAAACTGCCTTGTACACATTAAGTGACCAATAAGTGGTAGTTATTATTATATTATAATTTCTTCATCCCAGGGAAGGCTTTCCTGGCATTACCTCCCTTGACATAGTTTAACCCCATCCTTATCCCTGACAAAAACCTCCCCAACAAAGTACAGCACAGATGTACTTTGCATTCATGATGTACATGATTTGCATGATGTACATGCATTCATTCAGAGATGGTCACATTTACAGAAAGCAATCAACTAACAAAGACAGCTGACTTTTTTTGTTGTTTTTGTTTTTTTTGAGATGGAGTTTTGCTCTGTCGCCCACCCTGGAGTGCAGCGGTATGATCTTGGCTCACTGCAGCCTCTGTCTCCTGGGTTCAAGTGATTCTCCTGTCTCAGCCTCCCGAGTAGCTAGGATTACAGGCATGTGCCAACATGCCCAGCTAATTTGTATTTTTAGTAGAGATGGGGTTTCACCATATTGGCCAGACTGGTCTCAAACTCCTGACCTCCGGTGATCGGCCAGCCTGGGCCTCCCAAAGTGCTGTCATTATAGGCGTGAGCAACTGCGCCTGGCCTACAGTTGACCTTTGAACAACATGGATTTGAGTTGCACTGGTTCACTTATATGTGGATTTTTTTCAATCAATACCATCAGCCCTCTGTTTCTGTGGGTTCTGCATCCACAAGCAAATTTGGGATGTGGGACTTGGGTATAAGGAGGGCCACCTTTTTGTGTCCACGGGTTTCACAGGGCCGACTTAGGGGCTGAGAAATGAGTGGATTTTGGTATCAGAGAGGGGTCCTGCAATCAATGGCCTGCAGATACCTAGGGGCAACTGTATAAATTTGATGGTGCTATGATTTCCCAAGCACTTCCAGGCACCATACAAAGCATCGGTAGGCTGGAATGAAGAGGAGGTGTAAATCAAAATGTTATCAAGAATTTTGCCTTCTTCCTTTTAGCATATCTGTCTATCCTGAAACGTTAATGGCTGTTTGCACTGAGACACCTGATTGCCTGGGCAGGAGATGGAAGAGTGCATTCTCAGAGTGAAGCGGGTAGGCAGTTTTAGACAGGGGACATGCAGGGGTTTTCTTAGGGCAGGAGGTTGAGTGGGAGGCAGGCTTGGGATGTTCTTACCTTCAGTTTGGGTAGGTACAACCACACGGATTTGGGGCTCACCCAACAGCAGCTAAGGTTCAATTCTGTACTCATAGGCAGTGAGGTCTCCTAAGCCAGCCCCAAACTTCATTCATTTTTAAACAAGTATTAGGTGTCTGCTACATGAGGCTGTGTGTTGTGAGGATATACAAATGTGTAAGGCATAATTCCCATAGGCAAAGAGTTTGCAATCTAGAGGAAATAAGGGACACAAAAGATTATATCAAAAGGAAGCATATGGCATGGGCCAGAAGACAGCTCTAGCAAGAGTGAGCTATGGACATTCAGGAGCACAAGACTACTACTTGGAGAGATGGCAGAAGACTTCAGGAGGTGGCTTTGATAGTGAGGGGACAGCAGGGTGATAATGTAGATGGGAAGACGTAGGGCATGGAGAGAAATGCCATGGAAAAGAAACTGGCTGGATCAGAGGGCACATATAGGCTAACAGCATTATTTAACAGGGGTTATTTGGCCAGGTGTGGTGGCTCATGCCTGTAATCCCAGTGCTTTGGGAGGCCAAGGCGGGTAGATCACCTGAGGTTAGGAGTTCGAGACTAGCCTGGCCAACATGGTGAAACCCCGTCTCTATTACAAATACAAAATTAGCTGGGCATGGTGATGGATGCCTGTAATCCCAGCTACTTGGGAGGCTGGGGTAGGAGAATCACTTGAACCCAGGAAGTGGAGGTTGCAGTGAGCCGAGATTATGCCACTGCGCTACAGCCTGGGCAACAGAGCACGACTCCATTTCAAAAAAAGGGGGGGTTATTCACCCACAGAGCTCTTACACAAAATAACTATGCCCTTGGGGGTTGTGTGGGGGGACAGTGAAAATACGGCATCTGTAGTTATTGTTAGTTAACTCAGCTTCTCTTGCCCCAGAATCCCCTCTGAAGTGGGCTGGAGCACCTCCACTGTGGTTCTACAAAGGCAAAACATCTACCTTGATCCATCAAGATAGTACAGCTGTTTTGGGGGTGGGAAAAGCCAACTTATTTCTCAAAAACAACAGATAGGTGCTATAGTAGGTTAGAAAAGATAGCCATCACTGAGACAAACCTCAATTGTGCCTTTAAGGAAATTGGGACAGATGTTCCAAGACAGAGGTAACCTCATGAACAAAGGCCTGGTGACTGGAATGTGAAATGCACTTAGTCTTCAGGACGTGGGAGAAGCAGCTAAGAAGATTAGTTTGATGGACTTGGAGGCTTGAATAAAACAGAGGTCAGACAAATGTGTGTTTTGTTTAGCCCAGCCAGCACTTAACAAGTTTCACTTGCCAGCAGTGAAAAACTGGGAGGTTTTACATAAAATTCTGGATTATAGGCTCCTTTGAAAACTGGGCCTATATTTCTAAATGTCATCCATCCTTTGGAGAAGAGGAGCTGGCCACAGCCTCCACTGGCTGGCTCTCTTTATTCCTTTCTGCTATCGATATTTAGATGCAAATCACATTTTGTGAGCACAGTAAAGTTTAGCTCTCCAGAAAAGCCATAATGGCTCAGAATGCATTTGAAGGCTTATTCTTTTTTTTTTTTTTTAAGATGAAGTCTCGCTCTGTCACTCAAGCTGGAGTGCAGTGGCACAATCTTGACTCAATGCAACCTCCACCTCCTAGGTTCAAGTAATCCTCCCGCCTCAGCCTCCTGAGTATCTGGGACTACAGGTGCCTGCCACCATGCCCAGCTAATTTTTTGTGGTGTGTGTGTTTTAGTAGAGATGGGGTTTCATCATGTTGGCCAGACTGGTCTTGAACTCCTGACCTCAAGTGATCCACCCGCCTTGGCCTCCCAAATTGGTGGGATTATAGGTGTGGACCACCAGGCCCAGCCTCGAGGCTTATTCTTTGCAGGGTGAGTGTATGTTATCTGGGTTTCCCTACATTCTCTTTTTCATGTTACTTCCAAGTTCCTGCAGGCATTTGCTTTTGTGACTTCTCATATAAAGGGCATCTGTGCAATAAGGATTGTGAAGTTGGTAAGGGAAACATGCCAGGCCAAGGGGCTTAGCCTTTTTTCTCTGGGGACAATCAAGAAGGCCACAACAGGCTGAGTGCAGTGGCTCACACCTGTAATCCCACCATTTTTGGAGGTCAAAGCGGGAGGATCACTTGAGTCCAAGAGATTGGCCTGGGCAACATAAGGAGACCAGGAGACCCAATCTCTACAAAACATTAAAAAACTTAGTCAGGCATAGGTAGCGCATGCCTGTGGTCCCAGTTACTTGGGAGGCTCAGGTGGAAGGATTGCTTGGGCCCGGGAGATTGAGGCTGCATTGAGTTGTGATTGCACCACTGCACTCCAGCCTGGAAAAGAGAGTAAGACCCTATCTTGAAAAAAAAAAAAAGGATACAACACAGACAACAGATCTGAGAAAGATTCATCTAACAGAATCCCATATGGGCTGGGCTGGAGAAGACTGAAATGAGCACTGACTCTGGAGACAAGCTCCCTGGCCTTATATCTCAGCTCAATTACTGGATGGGTGAACTTGCAGGCTATAGAACCTTTTGGTAGCTCAGTTTTCTCATCTGTAAAATGGACTCAGTAATAACAGTGCCCACCTTGTAGGGCTTGTTGTAAGGATTAAATGAGATATTGAACATAAAGCACTTAGTACAGTGCCTGGTACATATGTATATTCAATGTTTAAGATCATTTTTAGAATTAATCCTGGACACCAATGAGGAGATGACCGCAATAGCCTAGATATGAGCTGATAAGGTCCTAGGTTAGGGCAGGGGCAGTGACAGAAAGAAAGACCAGCATGGGAGCATTAGGAATGAAGAATTTTGCAACAGCTGGGGCTGAAAAAAAAAAAGGAACGAAGAAGCACCTGGGCTCAAGGTTGACTGGGTGAGGGGAAGGGGAAGAATCAAACACAAGTTGTGGATTTCCACCCTGAATCACTGCGGCAATAATGGAACTGAAGTAGAAAACTTTGGGAAGAAAGTATTAGGAAAAGAAGTCAGCTTCATGCATATTAAGTTAGAGGTGACAGTGGGATATGATAGCCAAACAGTAATGTCGAGCAGGCTGTGGGAAGTGTGGGACCATAGCTTAGGAGGGAGGTCAGGGTTGAAGATGTAGATATGAACAAAAAAACTACAAGAGGGGATGAGAGGGAATGAATGAAGTGACTGTCCAATTCAGCAAAGGTAACCCGAGGTATTGAGCATCTGGTATTTGAGTAGGCTGGGGCCTCTGTTGATTCACTGACCATGTGTATTCTGCTCAGTCAGCTGTACCACTCAGATGCCACCTTTGTCCTTCATCTTATGTGCTTTCAGTTCAAATGCTGACCTGGCCCAATCCTGCTTACCTTGTGAGCTGTGATGGGGTTAAAGTCCACTGGGGCATAAAGCAACAGGCTCACACTTGGTTTTACATTTGATGAAACTGAGACACCTAATATGGGTAACATGGGAGAATGTCAGAGTTGTGGGGGGACCAAACATATGTCTGGTGCCTCCCTCTTCTGATTCTTTCAGAAGCCCTGCCAGGTTCCAAGGCTCCTACATTCTTAGCTGCTCCCTGGATTTTCAGGGCAGTGTTCCTTCCCCAGCCTATCTCCCTTTCTCCTCCACATGCACTTGTGCAGAGAACCATTTTCTCAGGACTCCCTGGTTCTTATTAGGGGCACACAGATTAATCAGATCAATTCATCTCTGTCAATATCTTACTCTTCCTACTTGTTCTCTCAATACACTAAGTTCTGCCATCTCTTCTGGCTAGGTGTGGAGACAGACAAAAAGGCCAGGCTGTACCTGGAAGGGTTTGAGCTGAGATGCACTGAGCGTGGAGAAGGGGAGTTCACACAGGGTGGTTGGGGTCCGTGAAAGCACACAAAGTTGGGGGCACCTCATTCCATGTGTGCACAGGCCTGACCCGCACCCCTTCCCACCAGAAGCCACTCTATCAGGACATGCACATGCATAATGTATTTACCTCTCCATTCTCTAGCATGCCAGTCAGGAGCCAAGACAAGCAAAGTAAAAAGGGATAAAACGAGTGTAAGCATGGTGAAGGAAGGGCTCAGCTGGTTAAACAAGACTTCTGATTACTGTCATTATGTTCAAAAGAGTTCCAACCTGATGTGCCATTAAATGGGCTGTGTGTGTCAAGAGAAAAGCATATTAAGAGAAAGAAATATCCAGACAAAAGGGCCAGTCAGTGCAGGGATTGAGAAAAATTCCCTGTGTAGCTTGTTATCCAACAGACACCTGCCATTGATTTGCTTCACGACAGGCAGTGCAATGGGGAAAGCCAATGGAATGCAAATGTTACCATTATCTGCTCTCAGGTCAGAGCAGCCTGGTGGCCCTACAAAGGTCCCTCGTTACTTATTCTGCTGGCAAACCCTGCCTGCTCCTGCGGAGACAGACTGTTATTAGAGCCCTCTCTTCTTGGTGAATTTAGAGTATGTGCTTTGTAGGACAAACAACAATAACAACAACAACAACAAATTTAACATTAGCCTGTGGTTTCTAGGCCTCCAACTGAAGATGGATTTCAGGCAGGGATTATGAAGTTGTTAACTCGACAGAGATCAGTGTTCAGCTACTCTCCATTTACCGCAGTGACACCTAATGGCCAGAGAAGCCCAATGCCATGCTTGCATTTAAGAGCAGCCTGCAGTTCTGTCTTGGGGGTGAATTTTTTTTAACATAGGGTGGACAAAGTATTAGTATGTTTATACTAATACTTCTGACCTCTGCAAAATGACACTTTCACTGAAACCCTAAAGTTCACTTCCTATATCTTTGGATAACATTTATATTATTACTCATAATTACATGCTGATCCTATTTTGTGAAACCAGTGCAATTACCTCTTTGGATTTTTTTTTTTTTTTTAGATACGGGGTTTCACCATGTTGGCCTGTCTGGTCTCGAGCTCCTGATGTCGTGATCTGCCCGCCTTGGCCTCCCAAAGTGCTGGGATTACAGGTGTGAGCCACTTTGGCTTTTTTTAAACCACCACCATGACTTTGCATCTATTTGAAAACATCATCTTATGCTCTATATATGCATTATCTGGAAGGCTCCCATACGAGGAAAAAGATAATCAGGAATACCCCCAAATACCCCCTTCTAGTGTATCTTACCCCAGTGTATAGTGGGTTGCTGTGGTAGGGATACAGAATGCAGATGGTGTAAAATGTGGTGTTGGCTGTATTCTTCCAGATGAGCTCACTGTTCTAGCTCCCAGGAAGAGAAAGGAAAACTAAGGTTTATGGGGAAGACTGGGACCCTTCTCCTCTCTGATTTAGATATCATTGAATTTCATCTGAAACCTTCTTTCTTTCCTTTCCTTTTCTTTCTTTCTCTCTCTCTTTTCTTTCTTTCCCTTTCTCTCTCTTTTCTTTCTTTCCCTTTCCCCCTCTCTCTCTTTTCTTTCTTTCCCTTTCCCTCTTTCTTTCTGTCACCCAGGCTGGAGTGCAGAATCTCGATCTTGGCTCACTACAGCCTCCACCTCCCAGGTTTAGGAGATTCTCCTGTCTCAGCCTCCCAAGTGGCTGGAACTACAGGCACGTGCCAACACGCTCAGCTTATTTTTTTGTATTTTTAGTAGAGACAGGGATTCACCATGTTGGTCAGGCTGGTCTTGAACTTTTGACCTCAGGTGATCCACCCGCCTCGGCCTCCCAAAGTGCTGGGATTACAGATGTGAGCCACTGTGCCTGAAATCCTTTTTCACCGACTAGCCCTACCCCCTGAGGCTCAAGGCCCTGATCTTGGACTGGCCCAGTATGGGGATGAAGCAAAGCTCATGAAGCCCTGAACTATGCATGAGGTGGCAGAAAATGCTGGAGAGATGCCCCTGGCAGTGAGAAAATCTTAGGACCAGGGCTTTAAAAAAATGAATAAAAAGCTTACAGTGTAGCATACTTCTTTCTGACCCTACTTCTCCCAAGCTTTTTTTCTTTTTTACTTCTGATCTTCCGTTTGTGGATCTCCCCAGCTTTTTTAAGAGAAACTGATTTTTCTTTCTTGTTTGGAGACAGCATAATTATCCTGTGAAGAAAACAACTTTTCTAAGGTTTGAACCAGATAATGTTTGAATGAAGTCAACAAAGTTGGATATTGGTCATTTCATCTGGTTCAAGCTAAAGAAAGAAGATTGAGGGCCGGGCGCGGTGGCTCACACCTGTAATCCCAGCACTTTGGGAGGCCGAGGCGGGTGGATCACGAGGTCAAGAGATTGAGACCATTCTGGTCAACAGGGTGAAACCCCGTCTCTACTAAAAATACAAAATATTAGCTGGGCATGGGGGCGCGTGCCTGTAATCCCAGCTACTCAGGAGGCTGAGGCAGGAGAACTGCCTGAACCCAGGAGGCGGAGGTTGCGGTGAGCCGAGATCGTGCCATTGCACTCCAGCCTGGGTAACGAGAGTGAAACTTCATCTCAAAAAAAAAAAAAAAAAGAAGATTGAAAGTAAAGGAGAGACATACTGTGTCTCTGAATAAAAGAGAAAATATTTTACATAAATTACTCCAAGTTTATGGGTTTTAAATAATTCCAGTCATAATCACAAGGTAATTCTAAAGTTATTAGGAAGAACAAATGCCTGAAAATAATCAAGGAAATGTTGAAGAGAAAAACGATTAGGAGAGCTATATTCCACCAGATATTAAAAGGCATTTTTCTAAAGTTATGATCATTAAGATAGAGACCCTAGAATAGATATAAACATTTAGCATGTGGTGAAAGCCACAGCACAGAGTAGTGGAGAAAAGAAGGATTATTCAAAAAACGGTGCTTAAACAACTGATAAACTATTCTTTTTTTAAACTTAGCTTCACATCATGCACCAGGAGAATTCTTTTTTTTTTTTTGAGATAGGGTCTTGCGCTGTCACCCAGGCTGGAGTGCGGTGGCACAAATACGGCTCATTGCAACCTCTACGTCCAGGGCTCAAGTGATCCTCCCACCTCAGTCTCCTGAGTAGCTTGGACTACAGGTGTGTACCAGCTACAGGTGGGCCCAGCTAATTTTTGTATTTTTTTTTTATTGCATTTTAGGTTTTGGGGTACATGTGCAGAGCATGCAATACAGTTGCATAGGTACACACATGGCAGTGTGTTTTGTTTGGTTTCTCCCCTTCACCCACATTTGGTATTTCTCCCCTGGCAATCCCTCCCCACCTCCCCCTCCCACTGGCCCTCCCCTTTCCCCGCTATAGACCCCAGAGTTTAGTTGTATTTTTTGTGGAGACAGGTCTCACCATGTTGGCCAGCTCGCCTCGAACTCCTAGCTTCCAGTGATTCTACCTATTTCAAACTTCCAAAGTGCTGGGATTACAGGCAGGAGCCACGACACTGGTGCACCAGGTAAATTTTTTTTTTTTTTTTTGAGACTAAGTCTTGCTCTTTTACCCAGGCTGGATTGCAGTGGCACGATCTCAATTCACTGCAACCTCCTCCTCCTGAGTTCAAGTGACTCTTCTGCCTTAGCCTGCTGAGTAGCTGGGACTACAAGCCTGTACCACCACACCCAGCTAATTTTTGTATTTTTAGTAGAGATGGGGTTTTACCATGCTGGCTAGGATGGTCTCAAACTCCTGACCTCAGGTGATCTGCCCTCCTAGGTCTCCCAAAATGCTGAGATTACAGGCATAAGCCACCACGCCCGGCCACATCAGGTAAATTCTAAATGTATCGAAATGTTAAGTGTAAGGCCATTTGCAGTGGCTCACACCTGTGATCCTAGAACTTTGGGAGTTTGAGATGGGTAGGATCGCTAGAGTCCAGGAGTTTGATACCAGCCTGGGCAACATGACAAGACATTAGCTGGGTATGGTGGTACATGCCTGTAGTCCCAGCTACTCAGGAGGCTGAGGTGAGATCACCTGAGCCTGGGAAATTGAGGCTGCAGTGAGCCGAGATTGCACCACTGCACTCCAGCCTGGGCGGCAGTGAGACCCTGTCTCCTAAAAAAAAAGAAAAAAACAAACACCAAGTGTAAAAATCATAACAAAGAAAGTATTTAAAGAACATATAAGTGAATAGTCTTAGAACAGGCCTTTTAAGTAGAAAAGCAAAGCGAGAAACAAAAAATAATACTAATAGATATAATTAGATAAAATTCTAAAATTATATACAACAAAACATCACCACCACAGCCTAGCCAACATGGCAAAACCCTGTCTCTATCAAAAACACAAAAATTAGCCAGAATTGGTGGCATGCGCCTATAATCCCAGTTACTTGGGAAGTTGAGGCAGGAAAATTGCTTGAACTGCCACTGCACTCCAGCCTGGGCGACAGAGCGAGACCCTGTCTCAAAAAAAAAAAAATACCACCACCACCCCACCACCAACCACACATAACAGCATTAGAGGCCAAATGTCAAACTGGGAAAAATATATCAAATGTATGACAAAGGGTTAATATCTTTAATATATAAAGACCTCTTACCAATGAATAGAAAAAGTTGAATATTCTAGAAAAATAGGGCAAGGACATAAATACAGAACTTACAAAGAAATACAAAAGGCCAGTGCAACCTTGCTTATAATCAATAAAATTCAAATTAAAACAATGAAATACTATTTTTCAGCAATTAGGTTTGCAATGATTTAAAAAGTAATTACTAATGATAATTAATATCAATTAATATAGAGAGTTTAGAAGCTGAACCACTGTTCTTTACTGCTGGTGCAAGTTACAAACTTACAACTTTTCTGAAGTGCAAATTTCATGAAGAGTCAGAATTGTTCATATTTTATGACCTAAAAGTCAATTTCTAGGAATATAGCCTACGGATATCTTCACAGATATGAAAAGAATACAAAGGTTTTCATTACAATGTTGTTATGCTCAAGAATTAGAAAAAGCCTAAATATTAAAAAAATGAGAAATTGTTACATATTTCTGGCATATTCATATGGTGGAATATTATTTGATAATTAAATATTTAATGGTTCGGGGAAATGCCCATCATATAATAAGTGAAAAAAGAAGGATACTAATTTTTATATACAGTGTGAACACCATTTTGTAAAAGAAATAACCTTTTATATATTTATATGTGTGTGTGAGTGTGTATATGTGTATATGTGAAGATCAATAGGAGGAAAACTATTAATCATTATAATCCATGGGTGCTGTGCTCCGGGTAATTTATTTTCCTTTTTGTACTTTTCTGTATCTCCCAAATTTTCTACAACTTATACATATTACTTTTTTTCACTGTGGTCAAACATACCTACAATGAACCATTGTAACCATTTTTAAGTATATGTGCATTACTTTTTTTTTCTTTGAGACAGGGTCTCTCTCTGTCACCCAGGCTGAAATGCAGTGGCAATATTATAGCTCACTGTGATCTCAACCTCTTGGGCCCAAGTAATCCTCCTCCTGCCTTGGTCACCCAAGTAGCTGTGTCCCAGGCACAGGTACACATCACCATGCCCAGGTAATTTTTTATTTTTAGTAGAGACAAGGTCTCACTATGTTGTTGAGGCTGGTCTCAAACTACTGAGCTCAAGTGATCCTCCCATGATGGCCTCCCAAATGTACATTATTTTTAAAGTTAGAAATACTTTTTTTTTTTTTAAAGATAAGCATGCACTAAGCAGACTTTACATTTAAGCAGAAAAGCAAAGTTAGAAACAAGAGTATAGTAATAGCTATAATTAGATAAAATTCTAAATATATGTACAACAAAACCCTACCACCACTGACACATAAACAGCATTAGAAACCAAATGTCGGTAGGCGCGGAGGCTCACTCACGCCTGCAATCCCAGCACTTTGGGAGGCTGAGTTGGGTGGATCTCCTGAACTCAGGAGTTTGAGACCAGCCTGATCAACATGTAGTGAAATCCCATGTCTACTAAAAATACAAAAATTAGATGGGTGTAGTGGCACACGCCTGTAGTCCCAGCTACTTAGGAAGCTGAGGCAGGAGAATGGCTTGAATCCAGGAGGAGAAGGTTGCAGTGAGCTGAGATCGTGCCCCTGCACTCCAGCCTGGGAGACAGTGAGACTCCATCTAAAAAAAAAATGCTAAATGTCAAACTGGGAAAATGACAAAGGATTAATACCTTTAATATATAAGCACTTCTTACCAATGATTTATTTATCTGTTTGGACAAGGATAGGAAAGGAATGCAACCCAGACAGATAAAAGTTTCAGAGTGGAGTGGCATTGTTGAGTGTAATCATAGTGTGTTTTGTCTCAAGGCAGCTTTGATAAGCACCTTCAGGCTGTTTAGTGCTGAGGTAAGCGATGGCCCAGGGCAGCCGGGAATACTACAGAGGGAAGGCAGGAGCAGGGAGGGGCATTGAGCAAGGAGGACAAGTTAGAGTCACGGGGAAAACCAAACTCAGCTGGGACTGATCATTTAAACTTGGATTCAGCTGACCCCAAATTAATTTCCATAGAGTTCTTCCAGGAATATATAGCTTGTATAAATCAGGGTTTGCCCAGAAGAGGCCACAGAGACAGGCTAGCCTACGGAAGTGGAATTGTTTTTTTTTTTTTTTTCTTTTTTTTTGTTTGTTTGGAAGTGGAATTGTTTTCTATTTTAATTTGTTTTTTTGAGATGTCTTGCTCTTGTCAGCCAGGCTGGAGTGCCATGGAACGATCTCGGCTCAGTGATTCTTTTGCCTCAGCTTCCTGAGTAACCAGGATTACCTGCCACCACCCCTGCTTAATTTTTGTATTTTTAGTAGAGATGGGGTTTCGCCATGTTGGCCAGGCTGGCCTCAAACTCCTGACCTTGTGATCCACCTGCCTTGGCCTCCTAAAGTGCTGGGATTACAGGCGTGAGCCCCGATGCCCAGCCAATTTGTATTTTTAGTTCTGTGGTACATGTGCAGGATGTGCAGGTTTGTCACATAGGTGAACGTGTGCCATGGTGGTTTGCTACACCTATCAACCCGTCACCTAGGTACTAAGCCCAGCATGCATTAGCTATTTTTGAATTTTAAGGGCCTGAGCGGGGCTAAGAGAAGATACAGCACCTCAGTCCTGCTAGGATTCTGGGCCTGCCCCCACTGTACAGATATAACTGTTATCCATCCAACCTTATTTGAACCAGTCCGATTTTTCTTTGATCAAAATTGGTTTATTCTAGGCTAAGTCAATTACTCACTGTGGAGTCTCTGATTCTCAGATTTTGCCTCAGTGGTGTCACTAAGATGCCACCCCATTTTAAATGCAGTTCCTTCCTCAGCGAGGGAGTCATGGATGCTGGAGCCTTGTTAGCTATAGTTCCTAGCTTATGTTGGTCCTATCCAGTCTGCTTCACTGTGGTAGGGCACAGTGAGGAAAGCAAGAGTGGCATCCTAGCTGTAGAGGCAGCAAGAACAGGGAGCATTAGCCGGCTGCATTTCACATTCTACTCTTTGCTGGTCTTGGAGGAAGGAGAGCCACAAGTGATATAATCAGGAAGACAGGAAAGAAAAGACAGTTTCATCTGGAGGCTTCTTTTTCTTTTTTCTTTTTTGGAGACAGAGTATTTCTGTGTCACCCAGACTGGAGTGCAGTGGCATAATCTCAGCTCACTGCAACCTGCATCTCCCAAGTTCAAGTGATTCTCCTGCCTCTGCCTCCTGAGTAGCTGGGATTACAGGCACCTGCCACCATGCCCAGATAACTTTTGTATTTTTAGTAGAGACGGGGTTTCACCATTGGCCAGGCTGGTCTCGAACTCCTGACCTCAAGTGATCCACCTGCCTCAGTCTCCCAAAGTGCTGGAATTACAGGCATGAGTCACCACACCCAGCCTGGAGGCTTCTTTAAAGACAAAAAACAGAGGATGGGAATGAGGAGGCAGTCTTCCATCCAGCCAATAGCCCTGAGGATAGCAGCAAAAATGCCACAGAGTGGAGGTCTGCACAGTATTTGTGTGAGCAGTTGGAAGCTCCTTGGAAACCTGGCATCACTTGGGGTCAGTGTTCTTTGTTGTTGTTACCCACCCACAAACACTGCAAAGCATTCCACCCATCCACCCCTACAACTCCTCACCTGCATCTTTCTCTTCACAGTGTCGAAGGGAAAGGAGAGGGTCTGGGTTACTGCAGCAGCCAGACAGACATTAGCAAAGTTCTGTGGGAGAGAAAACTGATCTCGGGGTCCATTCCAGATTTTCTCCAGGTTCATGTAAACAAGAAGGGAGCCAGCAGAGAACGGGAGAGCACCTGCAAAACAAGGCCAGGGAGAGGCTGCTGCTGTCTTGGGAAAACACTGGTTTGAGAACATAAATGCCTGGGGGGGGGGGTTCCAGGGAAAGTAAATAGGAGGGGCTCTAGGTTTGTTAAAATTCCTCCCACCCAAGGAGCTTGAGGGAACTTTCTTGAGTGATGATAATCTATTTTGGTAGGGTTGTGTCATTTGTCAAAATGCATCAAATGGTTCACTAAAGGTGTGTCCACTTTACTGGATGTAAATTGCACTTTTAAAAAGAACATACATGGGCTGAGCTCAGTGGCTCATGCCTGTAATCCCAACACTTTGGGAGGCCAAGCAGGGCGGATCACCTGAGGTCAGGAGTTTGAGACCAGCCAATATTGCCAACATGGTGAAACCTTGTCTCTACTAAAAATACAAAAAGGAACTAGGCATGGTGGCGGGCACCTGTAATCCCAGCCACAGGCTGAGACAGGAGAATTGCTTGAACCCAGGAGGCGTAGGTTTCAGTGAGCTGAGATCATGTCACTGCCCTCCAGCATGGGTGACAAGAGCGGAACTCTGTCTCCAAAAAAAAAAAAAAAAACAAAAAACAAATATTGAACTCTAGTTAATCATACACATATTGAAGGGTTTAGGGGTGAAGTGTACTGATATTTGCAGGTTACACTGAAATCATAAAACAAACAAACAAAAAAGATGGACTGGCCGGGCACAGTAGCTCACGCCTGTAATCCCAGCAATATGGGAGGGATTGTGTAATTCCAGCAATATGGGAGGGATTGTGATCCGGACTGGCTGGGCAGTCTGTGGACTGTGGACTGGCTGGGCACAGAAGCTCACGCCTATAATCCCAGCACCAAAACGGGCAGATCACTTGAGGTCAGGAGTTCGAGACCAGCCTGGCCAACATGGTGAAACCCTGTCTCTAATAAAAATACAAAAAGTAACTGGGCATGGTGGTGCATGCCTATAATCACAGTTACTCGGGAGGCTGAGACAGGAGAATTGCTTGAACTGGTGAGGCAGAGGTTGCAGTGAGCCGAGATTACACCACTGCACTCCAGCCTGGGCAACAGACTGAGACTCTGTCTCAAAAAAAAAAAAAAAGATGGACCAATGAATGGCTGGAGGGATGGGTAGCAAAATGTTAATTGTCGCATCTAGATAGTCCATGGGTATGTACTCTACACTTCTTTTAATTTTTCTGGATGTTTGAAACTTTTTTTTAATGTTGGGGGGAAAAATCACTCCAGTAAAAAAAAGAAAAAAAAATCAGTGGGCAGCACCTCATTATGTTTTGGAGGACAGGAGGGACTGGTCTCTAGCTGAGAAGGAAACAGTCTGTGAAAACTGGAAAGTGAGAGACTCTTGGTGGTGAGGGAGGTCACCTGACCTCACCTTTGGGAATGATGTGGTCATATCATGGCCCAGTGGGTACCCTACATTGTATGGCTTCCTCACCTTTCCAGGAACTGAGATGGTGAGCGAGTAATACAGTAGGTGTCACTTTCACAATCTTCCAGAAACTTTAGGAGCCATCTTTGGTTTGCAGAGGGACTAAATTTCTCCCTCAAAATGAAATTAAAAATAGGGGATAGGCTGGGTGTGGTGGCTTATGCCTGTAATCCAAGCACTTTGGAGGCCAAGGAGGGTGGATCACCTGATGTCAGGAATTCAAGACCAGCCTGACCAACATGGTGAAACCCTGTCTTAAAAGAAAAAGATAGGGGATAATATAAGTGAGATTGCTTATCTTTAGAAAAATGTAATGTTTATTTAATTGGCTCACCAACCTTCCATATACCTTCATTCGGAAAACATCTGGAAAACTTAGGTTATGTTCCGGGCCTTATGCCAGGCACTGGGAATTGAAAGAGGAGCAGGCTAATTTCTGGAGATGCTCATCATCGAGGAGAAGAGACAGCTAGGGAAAACTAAGTATAACACCCCGATGTGTGCCACAACAGGGGGGCTCTATGACATGCATTAGGTACACAGGATCAAAGGGATTAATTTTGCTTGGCGGAGTCAGGAGGGACTTGATGGAAGAGAGTACTTTTGATTTGGGTCTTGAGGAATGAATGGGGCTTCATCAGACACTGACAGAGTGGAAAGGCAGAGGGAACAGCATGTACAAAGGGAGTGGTATTTCCAGGAAATTCAAGTTTTTCTGAATGGCTGGAGCATGAATGCAGGTGGAGGTGTGGCAGGAGATGAGGTAGGATTGGCATGGGCCAGGTCAGAAGGATCTAAAATGTCCTAAGGAATTTGGGCTTTCTCCTGTAGCTCAGGAGTTGCTGAATACTTTTAAGGAGGGCAGTGAAATGAGGGCCGTGACACAATGAAATTGCACATGGAGAGATCACCTCAGCCGGGCAGCAGTACACAGGGAGACTGGGGCAGGAGAGACCAACAGTGGAAGCAGGTAGGAGCTGGAGTCTGTGGGAGACCCTGATATTCTGAGTCGCAAGAATCTGTGGGAAAAAGGATGAGCCAAATTGACAGGACTTGGTGATTCAAGTGGGGATGGAGTGAGAGGAGAAATTGAAGTAATCCCCAGGTTTTTTTCTGGCTTGGGCCATGGTGTGAAAAGAAGGTAGTCTCATTCATTAGGGAACACAGGAGGAAGAGCTAGTTTGAGATCAATGAGGACATCAGGGTTAGTCTTGAACTTGATGTGCCTAGGGATCATGGAGGTGAAGGTGTCCAACAGCAGGGACTCATACTACCATTTGGGAATTGGTATTGGTCAGGGGATAACAGAGGGCTCTGGAGTTCTATTGCTAGTTTCTCCTGCTTTCTATCTCTGTGGACTTGGGTAAGTCACTTAGCTTCCTGAAGCATCTATCTCCTCATCTGTAACTAAGGCCTCATGAGAAACTGCGTGCAACGCATTTGGCGCAGTACCCGACATGAGGTAAGTACTTCCCCCCAGAAGTTGTTACTAAAGAGGTAGAGAATGAGAGTCACGGAGTACAGTGACACTTGTTTAAGCCACTACCATAGATGAGGCCACCCAGGGAGGGTTTGGAGGATGAGAAGCAAGCTAAAGGGGAGGGTAAAAAGAAAGCTAAGGAAGGAGCCCAAGGGAAGAGCAACATGTAGGAGCTGGCAGTGTCAGATGACCCAAATGGGCTGGGTAAGTCAGATAAGAGCTGCCAGAGAGATGGGAAGACACCCAGGACTTGGAAGGCTCCTGGAAGCCAAGTTTCCAGAAGAAGGGGTGATCAACCTTATCAAATGCTACAACCAAGGTCAGATAAAGGGTAAAAGTCTACTGGATTTTGCAAATGGGCCATAAATGTGTAGCTCTGGCAAAGGTTACAAAGACCCCAGAAGACACAGTTGCTACCCTAGTTGCCCTCATGGCATAAAAACATGTATGCACACTGAAGACTCCTTCTGCAGTCATATGGGGAGTGGTTAGGATTGCATTCCTACCAGTTTGCTGAGTCACCTCCACTTTCTGTCCTACTCCCCTCTTGGGGATATAACTGGCCAAAATTTAGGAGTGAGGCCAGGCACGGTGGCTCATGCCTGTAATCCCAGCACTTTGGGAGGTTAAGATGGGAGGATCACGAGGTCAGGAGTTCAAGACCAGCCTGACCAACATGGTGAAACCCCATCTCTACTAAAAATACAAAAATATTAGCCAAGCGTGGTGGCGTGCACCTGTAATCCCAGCTACTTGGGAGGCTGAGGCAGGAGAATTGCTTGAACCCAGGAGGCAGAGGTTGTATGAACTGAGATGGCGCCACTGCACTCCAGCCTGGGCAAGAGAGTGAGACTCCGTCTCAAAAAAAAAGAAAAATCCAAAGTTTAGGAGTGGAGTGTATGACTATGTAATAGAATGAAACTAATTGGCTCTATGTAGGTTGAATCCATACAACCTTGACCTCAGTAAAACTGATTTAGTGACTCATGAAAGTATATAATACATTTGTATATTTCAGAGGACATAAACTTTTCTTGGACAAGGTGAAAAGGTCCATCTTACCTACAACAGTGAGGGAAACCCCTCGATAAAGGGCCAGGAACCCTTCCTGTTGGTAAATAGTAGAAAAAGCATGGAGGAGCCCCCTGTACGATGGTTCCAGCATGTTCTGTACGATCAACCGGGTTTTGATAAGGTCTGTAGGATATGTTACAACGGTGGAAACCATGCCTGCGAGACTCCCAGCCATGATGGAGCTCCACTGGGAAATGTGGCCCAGGTCATCTGTGAATAGCACGACAAACCTGGGAGAAAATAAGGAGAAAGGCCAGAAGAATCAGCTATGGATTGTGCTAGAGTTCTCTCCACTAGTTCTTGAAATATTTTCCAGCATTTCAAAGTGCTACTACAATACTATATAAACATTCATGAATAACATTTACATTTTTCTGTATTTCTGTGATGCTAAATTAGCTATAAGGAAGAGATACCTAACTTTCTTATTTACATCTATCCCAAATCCTTCCCACTTTAAGCATTTTCTACTTTTACCTACCTAACTATCAACCCTGGCTTGCCTGTGGGGTGTAAATGCACAGAAGTACCTGGTAAATATCAAACTGGAATGCAATGTTTCCGTTCTGTTGAAACTTAAAAAGAACAAAATTTCTTGAAATGATAACTTTGAGTTTCTCAGTAATTGTGGGTTTTTTGTTTGTTTGTTTTTTAGGCAGAGTCTCACTCTGTCACTCAGGCTGGAGTGCAGTGACATGATCTTAGCTCACTGCAACCTCTGCTCCCCAGGTTCAAGCAATTCTCATGCCTCAGTCTCAATAGTAGCTGGGATTACAGGCACACACCACCATGCCCATTTAATTTTTGTAGTTTTAGTAGAGATGGGGTTTCACCACGTTGACCAGGCTGGTTTTGAACTCCTGACCTCAGGTGATCTGCCTGCCTTGGCCTCCCAAAGTGTTGGGATTACAGGTGTGAGCCACCTGGCTGAGTTTTAAAAGTATGTTGGTTAAATAATTATGAGAGAAGACGTTTGCCTCATTATTTGTCAGTGAAATGACAAAAACAATAACAAGATATCATTTCTCACCCAGCAGATTGGCAAAGATGAAAAAGTATGATAATCTCAACTGATGGTGGGGATGTGTGCAAACAGGAACTCTTACCCACTGCTGAGAGAAATGTAAATTGGTATGGCCACTTTGTAGTGCCTAGTAAAATTGTAAAAACATCTACCTTTATCCCATTTCTAGGTGCACCCCCTAGAGAAATTCTTGCATGTGTAAATACAAAGACACAGCAGCGTGAAAAACAAGCTAAATGTCCATCGCAGGCAAATGGATGAATAGTGGTATCATCATACAATGGATGATATTTATAATGGGTACTAAATGAATGAGCTTAGAATGAGTTTATCAATATGGTAAACATAAAAGCATGTTGAATTAAAAAGCAAGCTTCAGAGTGATCTTTTCTACATGAAAACCAACTATTTACAAATATCCACAAAACAGTATCTTATATTATTCATAGCTGAAAATATACATATGAAGCATAAAAACCGACTTTTAGGAAAGTAGAGAGGGGATGGGACTGGGAATGAAAATAAAGAGGACTTCAGCTTTATCTTTTTCTTGTTTCTTTTTGAGACAGAGTCTTGCTCTGTTGTTCTGGCTGGAGTGGAGCACAGTGGCACAATCTCAGCTCACTGCAACCTCTGCCTCCCATGTTCAAGCAATTCCCCTGCCTCCGCATCCCAAGCAGCTGGGACTACAGGCATGTGCCACCACGGCCTGGTAATTTTTTGTAGTTTTAATAGAGACAGGGTTTCACCAATTTGGCCAGGCTGGTCTTAACTCCTGACCTCGTGATCTACCCGCCTCAGCCTCCCAAAGTGCTGGGATTACAGGTGTGAGCCACCGCACCCGGCTTCTTGCCCTCTTTTTACCTCCCCAAGGTAGGACTCTAATCTGATTGTGGGTCAAAACATCCTTATTCCAAATCGGTCCTGCCCCATACTCTAGAGCAAACTTGTTTAACCCATGGCCCACAGGCTGCAGATGGCCCAGGATGGCTTTGAATGTGACCCAACACAAGTTTGTAAACTTTCTTAAAACATTGGGGTCCAAAGTGGCTCCCGCCGGAGGTTGTGGCGCTTGCGAAGGCAAGGTCATCAGTTCAAGGCTAACCTGAGCAACCTCATACGCTCAAACGGATTGGCAAAAAAAACAAAAACATTATGAGATTTTTTTGCGATTTTTTTTTAAAGCTCATCAGCTATTGTTAGTGTTAGTGTATTTTATGTGTGCCACAAGACAATTATTCTTCTTCCAGTGTGGCCCAGGGAAACCAAAAGATTGGACACCTCTGCCCTAGAGAAAGGAATGCTGCACAGAAGCCAAGAAAAGTCTGAACAGACAGGCCTTGCTGGGTTTAGATCATGTGCTTTTTGTCCATTCACATTTCTGCATGTGTCAATCGTGCCTCTGTAACGAAGCTTCCATAAAAACCCAAGAGGACAGAGTTTGGGAAGCTTCTGGATGGCTGAACACGTGGAGGTTCCTGAAGTTTGGTGTGCCCAGGGAGGGCATGGAAGCTCCACGCCCCTTGCCCCTTACCTCACCCTTCACATCTCTTCATCTGTATCCTTTGTGATATCCTCTACAGTTAACTGATAAACACTAAGTATTTCCCTGAGTTCTGTGAGCCACACTAGAAAATTAATCGAACCCAAAGAGGGTGTTTTGGGAACCCAAACTTGAAGCTGGTTGGCCAGAAGTTCTGGAGGCCTGGCTAGGCATGGTGGCTCAATCCCAGCACTTTGGGAGGCTGAGGCAGGCAGACCACTTGAGGTCAGGAGTTCGAGACCAGCCTGGCCAACATGGTGAAACCCCACCTCTACTAAAAAAAATTACGAAAATTAGCTGGGTGAGGTGGCGGGTGCCTGTATTCCCAGCTACTTGGGAGGCTAAGGCAGGAGAATAGTTTGAATCTACGAGGCAGAAGTTGCAATGAGCCAAGATCACGTCACTGCCCTCCAGCCTGGGTCACAGAGTGAGACTCAGTCTTTTTTTTTTTTAAAGAATTTCTGGAGGGCTGGACTTGTGACTGGTGTCTGGTGGGTGGTGGGTGGCCAGTCTTGATAAGCCCTCAACCTGTGATATATGATGCTATGTCTGGGTAGACAATGTCAGAACGGAATTGAAGGACACCTAGCTGGTATCCATTTATTGGAGTGTGGGGAAAAACTCGCACACATTTGGTCACAGAAGTCTTCTGTGTTGAGGGTTGTTGTTGTGGTGTGACAGCAGTAAAACCCCAGTTTGACCGAGTTTTCCCCAAACAGCTGGTATTCACTAATAGACCATCTGTCTCAGTTGTACTGCTTGCCTGCCTGTTTCCTCATTCCTCCCTCCTCTATGCCCTGGCCAGGCAAGTTGGAGGAGAACCTTAGGAAAGGCAGGGGAAACAGAGGAAGTAGAAATTTTTGACTGAAGGGGTGATCTGCAGCAAGCTGGAACCCTAGAAGGTAGAGTTTGAAATGCCCAAAGAAATACCATTCATTCTCCTTGTCCCACTCTATTTTTTTTTTTTAAAGATGGGGTTTCACCAATGTGGCCAGGCTGGTCTTGACCTCCTGACTTCAGGTGATCCACCCACTTCAGCCTCCCAAAGTGCTAGGATTACAGGCATGAGCCACCGCGCTCGGCTTTTTTTTTTTTTTTTTTTTGAGATAGAGTCTCACTCTGTCACCTAGGCTGGAGTGCAGTGGTGCAGTCTTGGCTCACTATGACCTCTGCCTCCCAGGTTCAAGTGATTCTCCTGCCTCAACTTTCCGAGTAGCTGGGACCACAGGCATGTGGCCAAGTTTTGTATTTTTAGTAGAGATGGGGTTTCACCATATTGGCCAGGATGGTCTCAAACTCCTGACCTCATGATCTGCCCACCTTGGCCTCCCAAAGTGTTGGGATTACAGGCATGAGCCACCGCACCTGGCCTCCTTGTCCCACTCTTATTCCCCATCCCACCTGATCACTTCTAGAGCACCATTAATTCATTACCCATTTATTGAACATCTACAATGTAGCAGACCCTGCGTTAGCCCTCAGCATAGAGCCTAAGGGAGTTCAACACTTCTGACAAGGAAATGACAGGTAGGGGCAAGTGGAGAGGAAACAGGCCCTTAATTCAATGAATGACTTGATGAACTAGAAAAAGGAGCTGTATTTTATGTCAGTTTCTTTTATAGAGTCTCAGTATCAAATATACACAATTAAAAAGAAGAACCATAGGAAGTCCTTTTTTCTCAGACTTCTCCCATCTGATAGAGATAAGGCCTACCAATTGTTCCCCTTAGAATTTCAGAATCAGGGCAGGCAACCCTGATAGTCCACCAGTGATGTCATCCTGGTCCGTGCATCTTAAACTCTTACCTGACTGGCTAGGGTGGCAGTGTTCCCTTTTCTGTTCTTCCTCCCACCCTCACACATACATGCACAGAAGCTTTTTCCAGTGAGACTGGATACACTGGTGAATTGCAGCCACCCTTTCCTTTTAACCAGCACAGATACAACACACACCCTAGATATGTGTAATTAGAACTGCCAACACTTCAACCTAACAGGTTAGCAGCCAATGCAGCCAAACACAAGCTCACAAAGTGCTTATTCAATAAGGAAACAGTGTTGGTTATGAACAATTTCAGAGCTTCAGGGACCCAAACTAATGTCTAATAGACAAGATAGACAAGGAGTTGTGAAGTTACAAGTGTGAGAGGGTCTTCTATTTGATACATCTGAAAGCCACCCATTACAATAACCCAGCTCCCAATAGACTACTGAGTGGACTCTTGATTGAAAATCCAACTAAGGAGATATTTCTGCTGTGTGATAGTGGACAGAGCCCTGAACTGAGGAGCCAGAAGACCTAGCTTCAAGTTCCAGCTCTTCCATTAATTGTGTTTGTGGACAAGTCACTTAACCACCCCATTTCCCGAACATTCTGGATGTTTATGTTGTGTTCAAACTAATGATCACAGGCCCCCAACCAAGTGTTTCGCAGATTCATGGTCAGGAAAGAGTAGAAGTGAATCAGTATCTTGATGAATCAAGAGTATCAAGTTTACGTAGGAAGGACAGCAGCATGATTAATCAATCACTTTGCTTTCCAACTATACCTTGCCACTTACCAAAATAATTCCTTTCAGTTTCCAGAAAGAAAATAATCCTGTAGAGGAAAAAAATTCCTAGCAAACCTAGCCCAGGGAAGTCTCTGTTCTTGTTCTCCCACACATCTCCTCCCCTCTCCTCCCACAGTCACTGACTACCGGTGCCCTCAGCTGCCATGCGGACCAGTGCAACAGATTCCTAACTCAACAGGTTCCTTCCTCCACTCTACTGGTCTCACTTGGCCACCATGTGATGATAATTTCCATTGAATTGCTTTAATCACAGCACTCCTCCCTTCATCCCTCACAAAAACCTCCCACGGTTACCCTAGTATACCAAGTCAAGTCCAAACTCCTTAATCCAACCCTCTAAGATCTCATTCCAACCTGCTTTTCTGGCCATATTTCCTGTTGTGCTGCTTGCCCTCCTACCTGTATGCCTTTGCTGACATCACCCGCAGTATCTTTCTCCCCATCTATGCCCAGCAGACTCCTACTCATTCCCTCAATGCCAAACTCAATTTTTTTTCCTCCTCTATGAAGTCTACACATTTTCTCCTCCTCGTGGCTCATCAGAAGGGCACCTTTACAGAGCACATTATCCATGACAATCACATGTTACCTTGTGTGTTATGGTGATGGCCATATTAGTCTTATTCTTCTATTACTCTGTAAGCTCCTGGGGCAGAGCGACTATGACCCTTCCATTCCAGCATTGTCCCCAGCATCGTGCACACAGTGGGGACTTACTGTAGTCTAATTAAATTAATGCCAAATGGATGCAGAGAGGCAACATGATTTAATAGAAAGACTATGAGATCTGGAGTTAGAAGGCCAGGTGGGAGCTCAGCTTTGTCACTGACAAGTGGTGTGATCACTCTGAGCCGAATTCTGCATCTGTCAAACAGGCACAATGCTTCCTGTCTTCCAGACCTCACAGGGCAGGAGGCAGGAGCTATAAAAACCTAATGATGTGCATATACTAGGTGGTTAGCAGAAGAGCCACAATACTTAAACCCACCTTTGAAGTTCTGTCCCCCATCCCTCTGGACATATTTTATCCTATCCAAAGAAAGATTTCCGTAATACTTTGTAGAGAAGAGGGTAAAGTGGGGGAAACATTGAGTCATTAAGACTTAGAGGAGAACTGATTTTTTTTTTTGAGATGCAGTCTCACTCTGTCACCAGGCTGGAGTGCAGTGGCACAATCGTGACTCACTGCAACCTCCGCCTCCCAGGTTCAAGTGATTCTCCTGCCTCAGACTCCCGAGTAGCTGGGACTACAGGCACGTGCCACCACTCCCAGCTAATTTTTGTATTTTTAGTAGAGATGGGATGTCACCATGTTGGTCACAAGGGTCTCCATCTCTTGACCTTGTAATCCACCTGCCTCGGCCTCCCAAAGTGTTGGGATTACAAGCGTGAGCCACTGCACCCGGTCCAGAGGAGAACTGTTTACAGACTGCAGGCTAGATGTTGATGAGGGCAAGTGGAGGTGGGGAGGAAAAAGGGCCTTGTTGTGATCCTACCCAGGAGTCCCTCTGCAGAGGAAGAGAAGAGAACTCAATTTCCAGGCAGAGGCAGAATGAGTACTGGCCTAGGGGCCTAGGTGATAAGGATGATTCCATTTGGCTTGTCAGCTGCCAGGGGAGCCTTCCAGCTCTGGCATCCCAAGTGAGTGACAGTGTCAAGGCAAAAATCCTTTGACTATTAGCTGCCAAGGCTAAACTACATGGTCAAGACCGACTCTCCCAACTGTGGGCTGTTTGTCTAGTTCAGAGCCAAGGTGATTTCAGAGATGCCACTGTGCCCACTGAATAAGGAACACAGGGACCATCCTCCCAATAGAGAAACATCTCTGCTTCCTGAAAGGCCACCACTACTAATTCATTCTTTTAGGCTTGGTTTCCAGTTCAAATGCAGGTACCACTGAGCTCAGTGGAAGCTTTAAGACTGCATTTACACCTTCAGATCTTTTACTGAGGAGCAGCTGTTGATGTGGGAGAAGGTAGAAAAGGCCCAAAGAATGAGGCCAGGGGGTGAAGTAGTAGGCTGAGGGGCCGTTCTCAGCTTGGGGAGGGGAAGCTGCAGCCTCTGTCGGACCCTGAAGTCAAGCTTTATTTAAGTTGGGGAGATGTGTGGGCAGCAATCTCTGGCCTTTTCGTATGGGTGGATTGGGTCCTTTCCCTATACCAAGCACTTTGTTCTTGGGGCTTGGGTCACACCGACAAATACCCAAACCTTTAAAAGGGTCTCTCTCCTCCTAAGCCAGCCAACGCAAAAGTTTCGAAATTGGAGGACGGTAGAAATGGTTAGGACTCATCTCTCTGGAGATCTCTTCATTCCTTTCCCACAAACCCTTTGCTGCATTCCACCTCCTCGCTGGGTCCAACCGGGAAAGCCTCTCGGGCAAGGGCTGCGGACCACAAAACTGTATCTTGCGCGGCGGGAACCCCAAGAGAACGTGAAAAACGTTGGGACTTGCACTCTGGGCCCACCGCCCCGAGGGGCCCTCACGTGATCGGCAAGGGGGCCGTGCCCACCCCAGGTCCCCGAGTGCAGGCGGCAGGGCGGTGTCGGGCCGCGGCCACCCCCACCCCCACCCCCGTCCGGCCTCTGGTTCCCTGGCCCCGCCCGGCTCTTACTTGCGGTAGGCGGCGAGCTGCACGGCGCTGCAGGGGAAGAGGCGCAGGCACGCCACTGCATTCCCCTTCCACAGGGCCCGGGGCCCCTCTGCCCGCCACACGCGGTGCCCAGTGGCCCACGGCCCCCGGCTGAGGCCTCGCACGACGCCAACCTGGGCCAGCACGGTGGCGAGCTCCAGGGGCGCGGTGAGGCTGAGGCTGAGCGCCCCTGCCAGCCCCGCGCACAGCAGCCTTTGGCCGCCTGTCAGCCGGCCGTCCCGCCTCCACGTCGCCATCGAGCCCGGGCCGGCCCCGGGAGACCGCGTGGCTTGGGCCTGGGACTCTCAGGCCAAGAGCGGAGGGGGCGGGCCCCAGGCCCCGCCCGGCGTGGGGCGGACCCATATGAGGGACGGGCCCGTCCACTCCCGAGCCCGGCCCGAGGATGGTGGGAGTCGGACGTGAGGGCCAGCAGGGTCCGGGGTCCGAGGCCTCTGATATCATGGGTATAGTCTCCCCAATTGGCAAAGCTCGAGTAGCGATTTTCAGTTGGGAAACCGTCAATGTTCTCTCAAGGCCCAGCCTGCTAGACGTCTTCCTGAGTTCAGCGCGCCCCCGCTGCCCCTCCCTGCCTCTCCTCTGGTTTGCCCCTTTTCTCCCTTTCACACCCCACCTCTCTCTCTTCCTCCCTTGGCTCTTCCCTCCAACTTCTTTTTTTCCCCCTCCTGCCTAACCAAAAAGCCTTGATGGTTTCCCAGTGCAGAAGGTAAAACTTCTAACAACCACGGAAACACAGCTGCTATCTTTTTTGTTATTGTTCCCTTCAGGTGTTTCTGCCCAATGAAACACAGCTGCTATCTCTCAGGCACTTGTCAAATACTGGACTTTACAGACGTTCTCATGTAATCCTCAAAACGGCCCTAAGTACGTGTATCTTCATTACCAGAGGCTATGTGAGTGCGGGAATTTGAAGCTGGACTCTTGAACCTGTGTAAGGATCTTGGCTCTGCAGCTTATTAGCTGTGTGACCTTGGGGAAGTCACGCAACCTCTCTGTTCATCATTTGCTTTATCTATAAAATAGAGATTATAATTCTTTCCTCCTACGGGTTGTTGTAAGGATTACGGACAATGACTGGTACAGGTAAGCAGGTTATATGTGTTAGTTCTGATTAGATATTCTTTTTTAAAAAAGATTATTTTTTTTTTTGAGACGGAGTTTTGCTCTTGTTGCCCAGGCTGGAGTGCAATGGCATGATCTCGGCTCACCACAACCTCTGCCTCCCAGGTTCAAGCGATTATCCTGCCTCAGCCTCCGGAGTAGCTGGGATCACAGGCCTGCGCCACCATGCTCGGCTAATTTTTGTATTTTTAGTAGAGGCTGGGTTTCACCAGGTTAGGCTGGTCTGGAACTCCTGACCTCAGGTGATCTATCTGCCTCAGCCTCCCAAAGTCCTGGGATTACAGGGATGAGCCACTGCATCTAACCCAGATATTCTTTTACATAAGAGGAAACCAAGACACAGAGATGACTTGCTCAGGCTTATACAGCTACCTGCAAGGCAGAGACCAGTTTCAAATTTATGTCACTTTATGTCAATTTCCATGACAGCTACACTATGCATCTACTAGGACTGCACAGTTAACTCCGGTAGGGACATTTTCAGTGGTTCTGTAAGCTGAGAGGACAATAGAGGGCAAAGATGGTTAAGAGGGGCTTGGCCAGAATCCAAGGATTTTTTAAATCAGTTAAAAAATTTCAAAATTTCAGAATTTCTTTCTGTCTCCTTTTTCTAAAAAAGCCATATCACTAATAATTACAAGGAAAGGAACAGTCAGCTGTCTGTTGGTGTGAGCAAGATGTCCTGGGTACATAGTTGCTTTTAGGCTTGTATAGTTATTTATATTTACTAACACACAATGCTAGAGGGATGTTTTCTAAAAGGCATTGCAGGGTTTCTTCTTTTTTATTTTTCACTGTCAATATCACTTGAGTATGACATTACAAGGTTTTGACTGTGAGAACTTGCTCTGGTCTCAACAATTGGGGAATGCTTATTTTCATGTTTTGTGAATTCTCCTGTCTTGCCGTAAGCTAATTTCATGGCTGGGGGAAGCTGGAGAAAGATTTATGACTCTGAAGACCCGAGGACCCTGACTCTAAAAGGGCTCGAGTTGTAATTTGGAGACTACAGTAAGGAAGCCTGCAGGTACCAATACTTCCTAAAGCCCTTTGTTGGACAACAGGACAAAATTCTAAAGCTCCTTCAGGAAGTTTCTGGGTCTGGAACATTTCATGCAATAATCCCATTGTATGGAGATTGGATCGGCCAAGTTATTTATTTGTTTATTTATTGAGACAGAGTCTCACTGTTGCCCAGGGTGTAGTGCAGTGGTACAGTCTCGGCTCACTGTAACCTCCACCTCCCAGGTTCCAGTGATTCTCCTGCCTCAGCCTCCCAAGTAGCTGGGATTACAGGCACCCGCCACCACACCCAGCTGATTTTTTGGATTTTTAGTAGAGACAGGGTTTCATCATGTGGTCCAGGCTTGTCTCGAGCTCCTGACCTCAGGTGATCCACCCACCTCGGCCTCCCAAAGTGCTGCTATTATAGGCAGGAGCCACCATACCCGACCTGTTTTCTTTTGTTTTAATGCAATTTTGTGTGAGAGCTTCAACTGCATTAATCTTGGGGATCAAGTATACCCACCCACACACATTTTTTTGGGACAGTCTTGCTCTGTCAGCAAGGCCACAGTGCAGTGGCATGATCTTGGCTTACTGCAGCCTCAACCTCCCGGGCTCTAGCCATCCTCCTGCCTCAGCCCCCAAGTAGCTGAGACCACAGGTGGTGAGTACCACCACACCTGGCTAATTTTTTTTTTCAGAGATGAAATTTACCATGTCATCCAGGCTGGTTTCGAACTCCTGAGCTCAAGTGATCTGCCCACATTGGCCTCTCAAAGTGCTGGCATTACAGACCACTGTACCAGCCATGTTTTCTTTAGCACTGCCATTCTTTTGTCTTCAGGAAAAACAAGATGTTCAATTGAGCCAGAGACGAGAAGAGTCATTTTAGTCTTCATAGTTATTGGCCAAGAGAGATAATGAACTGATATTCTATATTAACCTTTTTTTTTTTTTTTTTTTTTTTTTTGAGACTGAGTCTTGCTCTGTCACCAAGGCTGGAGTGCTGTGGCATGATCTTGGCTTACTGCAGCCTCAACCTTTGGGGCTCTAGCCATCCTCCAGCCTCAGCCCAGAGTCTTATTCATCTGCTTAGCATTGGGCACCTTATGTATATTGATCCTAAATAAATAAATCTGAGGAAATCCTGGATTTGGATTTCGACTTGTAGACTCAAGCCAACCTTACTGCCTCTTTTTCACATTTTTCGAAAAGTCTGTGGAGAACATAGTAGGTTAATGATCTCCAACTTTGGAAAATGTACGTGATGTGAAATTGGGGTGCTCTGCTAAAAAATCAATGTATGATACAACTAAAGAAAAGGGAAGAGGCAGTGAGTAAAAAAAAAAAAAAAACTTAGAAGTTATATTGTAATTTAAGGAGAAAGGTGGCCAGCTGAAAGGTAAGCCGTAGGCGGCCTCCTGTTGCCCCAGTCAGGGCTTGGGAGAGGCTAACAGTTTTTTAAATTCTCCAGTTTTCATTTTTCAGTTTATCTTCTCACCAACCGAAATCTCAGTACATTGCTTTAGTTTAACTTGCTAGTATTTCTTATAGTTTGTCTTGTTATATTTATATTAATGTTGATTGATTCCCACTCTCTTAATTTTCTTTTATTTTTGACTCTTTTGGAAAAGAGTAAAAATTAGAAATAAATTATAAAAGTAGTATATATCTGTTGTACCAAGACAAATAGTCCAGAAGTGTATTAAAGAAAGTTAAGCTCCCCTGCCCATGCCCTGAGGTAACCACAGTTGAGCTTGGTGTGCTTGTGAATGTTCTTCCTCATAATTTTTTTCATGCTCAGACCAATAATAATTTTTTTTTTTTGAGATGGAGTGCAATGTGTGATTTGACTCACCACAACCTCTGCCTCCCTGGTTCAAGTGATTCTCCTGCCTTAGCCTCCCTGAGTAGTTGGGGCTACAAATGCATGCCGCCACACCTAGCTAATCTTTTGTATTTTTAGTAGAGATGGGGTTTCACCGTGTTAGCCCAGATGGTCTCTATCTCCTGACCTCGTGATCCACCGGCCTTGGCCTCCTAAAGTGCTGGGATTACAGGCATGAGCCACTGCACCCAGCCTCAGACCAATAAATATTTATATGGGGTTGCTTTCTCCTCCCTCCTGCCCTTTCTTCTTGCCTTCCTTCTTTCCTTCCTTTGATACAAAAATGAAATAATTCCTCTGGAAGGATATCCAAAAAACTGATAATCAGGTTATCTTTGGAAGGAAACCAGGAGACTTGAGAACAGAGGTGAAAGGGAGATTGAGTTTTGACTAAGTGCCCTTTTATTTTATTTATTTATTTATTGTTTTTGAGATGGAGTCTTGCTCTGTCACCCAGGATGGAGTGCAGTAGCACAATCTCAGCTCACTGCAACCTCCGCCTCCCAGGTTCAAGCGATTCTTGTGCCTCCCCAGTAGCTGGGACTACAGGCACATACCTCTTTGTCCAGCTAATTTTTGTATTTTTAGTGGAGACAGATTTTTACCATGTTGGCCAGGCTGGTCTCAAACTCCTGACCTCAAGCGATCCACCTGCCTCAGCCTCCCAAAGTGCTGGGATTACTGGCCTGAGCCACCTCGCCCGGCCCTGTGTGCCTTTTATACTGTTTGTTTTTTTTTCCCCCTTTTTTCTTTTTGCCACCGACATGTATTATCAATTAAACAAAATTCTATTCTCCATCAATTTTCTCTGAAGGTGCAGTGTTTTCTGTGACATTGCCTTGCCATTGCTGAGGTTTTTTTGTCCTTTTAATGACACATCTTTATTTCGTTGGCAATTTTTTTTTTTTTGAGATGGAATCTCAATCTGTTGTGCAGGCTGGAGTGCAGTGGCGTGATCTTGGCTCAATGCAACCTCCATCTCCCGGGTTCCAGCGATTCTCCTGCCTCAGCCTGGAATTACAGGTGCCCACCACCACACCCAGCTAATTTTTTGTATTTTTAGTAGAGACAAGGTTTCATCATGTTGGCCAGGCTGGTCTCAAACTCCTGACCTCAGGTGATCCACCCAGTGCGGCCTCCAAACTGTGCTGGGATTACAAGTGTGAGCCACTTCGCCTGGCCAGCAACTTTTTTTTTTTTTTTTAATTGTTAAACAACTCTTGATGAAGTTCTAAATGAAACAAACAAAATACAACCTTCCTTCTGTTTACATGGTACGTGTGTTCCTGGAAAATGCCATGTACAAAAATACTGTGCAAAAAA